GAACTGAAGTGTAACTATGGCCCTATTAAAGAGGTATAGTTATGGGCTATTGATCGTAGCACACAGGAAAAGCTTGTCATGTAAAGTCAAGAGGTTAATGTAATTACAAGAATGGGCAGCAGGATCAGCTGTAGCTCAGAAGTGGCGAATAACTAAAAGCTGCTTTAGAGACACATAATGTTGTCAAAGCATAAATAATTCATCCTAGCATTTGAGAAGAAATTACTCCTCTGTTGCAGCATATTATTCAGCCATTAAAACCCTGCCTTCTAAAGGCTTTTGATGTAGTCATATTTTTATTTCGAAGTCATTCTGAGGCATGCCACCTTCATTAAGCCTTATATTGTGAAGTTTTCAAAGTATTAGAGAGGATGTGGACTAGATCCACAATTTGTTTAGTAACCACAGTACAGCTCAGAGAACAAGGAAGATACCAGAAGGATCTATGCTGCACCCAGTAGCCAAGTAGGGATGAAGATGAGGCTATGTGGCATAGAATTCCCAAGCCTTGAGTTGCACCACATTCCATTCACTTCAGTTCCTTGCTGGCACCAGACCCTTGTTGATACAAACCCTGAAACATTTCTCTAGTGCCAAAGACATAGAAGAGACATGAAAAGCAGAGACAGATTCAACTATCCTTCTTGTAACTATTCTCACATGAACATCTCAGTAGCTCTGCTAGAAATATTCTGACAGTGTGGTTTGGAATTGAATTTGGTTGTCTTTGTGCGGTTACTATTGTTTCACCTTCAGCCTGTGCATTTAGAAACGAAGTTTGCACATTTATGACAAATTGATGGCTGCAGGTTTCCGAATCAATAGCCACCTGCTATTCCTAAAGTGGTCACGACTTACTATGTTGTGATCAACGTGTAAAAGGCAGAATATAAAATAACCCACACAAGAATGAGTACAATATGAAGCCATATAATTAAACATGATCTTACAGGAGCTAATGTAGTTCCCTATTTCACCCCCAAATCTATTTTCAATCCTTCTCTGCCCTGACCTGTGCCCCAGGAGAGTGTGCCAGCATCCTCAATCCCCTGACTTTCCTATAAGCACCAGCCAGTGGGAGACCCCAGCAGCTAATTTGAAAGCAGGGGGAGGGAGCTGTGAGCATTTCTCCCTGTTCCTTCTCTGCTGGGCTTCAGTTCTTGGGGTAGCTGTGGCCTCCACAGCTTCCTTGAAAAGGCGTTTCTTCTACTTCTCTGGCTTCCTTCCAGCTTTAGTAGCAGTTTTCCACCCCTTCTTCCATTGACCTGTGACATATTAGCATCATTTGAAAACTCTGAGCTTCAGCAACCTTGGGTGGCTCTATCAATGGTCCCTTATTGGAAGTCTTCAAAACTCTCAGCTACATGTGCTGTTCCTTTTCTCAAGGATCCTGGCTGATTTACACAACTAGGAAAGGAACAAGGAGACAAGTCCTCCTTGGCACATTCTGCAGCAGAAATTCTTTGTCATCAGTTTCTAAGATTTATGTCATCAGTACAGTTGCTAAAACCACAATAACAAAACTTTAGAAAAAGTCTATCCAAACAAGACTCTGAAACACTCATCAACAGAGAAAGATAGTGTCCCTTTTATATTGCAGTTCATACCACCAACCAATTGGCCATCCTCCAACCACTCCTAGGGTGTTTCTGATATGAAACCAGCTCCCTTCCTCCTCATATTAGTTCTGAGCTATGCCTTGATTTTCTTGCCAGGAAGCCTTATCTCCCCATTAGGGGATACAACTGCATATCCCACCTCTTCAGCAACTCACTATAATTTTAACTCATATATAGGACTAATTGTATACTATGAACCTTGTGTATTTTTATCATAAAATAGATTTTCTGCTTTTAATTCTTTTACTCTAAAAACTATGTCCCTCTGGATTTTTCCTAGTTTATGATTTGAAATGAATTATATAAGCTTCAGCATAAGAAAGAAATATAAAGTATTTATCCAAGATGTCTGCAACATTCCATTCACAGAGCTAACCAGCAAGGATATAATAGCCAGTGTTGGCTAACACATACTGGAGGGTGACAACTATCTTTCAGTCCAAACTCTGCTCACCTGCTCTCCATAGTACTGACAAATATTTCCATTTAACATCAGCATCTAGGAGTCACCCTTGAATTTATTCTTTTCTTTCATCCATGTTCAATGTGTTAACCTATTGTATCATTTCCATCCCAAAAATATATTCCAAATCTATTTCTCTCTATCATCATTGTAACCTATAACACTCTCATTGGTTCCTTGTTGCCTCCCTGTAATCCTCTTGTACACCACGCAGCTAATACGATATTTCTGAAATGTAGAATGCATTGCACCCCAGCCCAACACCCATTGAACCCTCCAGTGCCTCCCTTAATCTAAAGGCCTCTGGGTAAACTTGGCTGTTTTCTGTCTTTGCCCACTCTTGCATGATGCACTTGCTTTGCTGACCTGCTTTCTAAGCCTCAAACATGATTCTCACCTCCTGATCTTCATGTCCTTCTGCCTGGAACCATTGCTCCCAGTCTTTCCTTGACTGCCTAAGTCTTGCCATTCAAATCCCTACCTCAAATATCACTTCTTCAAAGGACCTTTGAGGCTGCACTGTCGTTCTTCATCACGTTTTACCATGTAGTTTTCTTCTAGCATTTGGCACTATTGGAAACAGATCCTTTGTTGAGGAACCTGCTATTGCCTGCCTTCTCATGTACAATATGAGCTATTAAGCTCGGGAATCTTGCCTATACTGCTCGCTCACTTCCTGCAGTTTTTAGAATTGCACTGACACAGAGTAAGGACTCACAGCCTAAGCTGAATTTGATTTTCCAGTGGCCACTGATGGAGGAGAATGATGCATAATGATGTGGCCCCTTATTTGTTGATTTTAACCAAATATTATCAATTAGTTACTCACTTTGGACTCACATTATTTTACCCTGTCCTAGTACACATCAACTAAACTTTCACCTGTTCTAGTCAATGATGACTTACCTTGTCCTAGCACACATCAACTAAACTCTCACCTGTTCTAGTTGATGATGGCTTACCTTGTCCTAGCACACATCAACTAAACTCTCACCTGTTCTAGTCAATGATGGCTTACCTTGTCCTAGCACACATCAACTAAACTCTCACCTGTTCTAGTCAATGATGGCAAGTGCCAAAACATAACATGATATGAAATTGCTCACATTGTCAATGAATGCTTCATGCCTGATTTTTAAGGCCTTGGTTCTTGGATACGATATTGGCCTCCCAGCCAAGTAAAGAACATGGAATTGCAAAATATGTGCGTGCAATAAAACAGAGAAGTAAAGAGAACACAAAGATCAGAAATCCAAGTCCATCTGAGGATGAATGAGTGCTTTTCACACAAGACCACCAGGGAGGAGCTGTAGCAGTGCTGCTCCTGTCTGTCTGAAAACTTCAGAATCAGAAGATTACTGCAAAATATTAGGGATGTCCTGATCTCACTCTGTACTCATGACCAACTTTATCCTACCTGCAAATGTGGTAAGTTTCAGGGGTCACACCAAAATTAGAAGTCCTTGCATTCCTGATAACTAAACATAGAACAAACAACATCATTTCACCGAGGCTCTTTATTCTCATCTGAAATTAAAAAGGATGTTAGCTCTAGCCTGTTCTAGCACAAGACTGAGGCCAGCAGCCAACCCAATGTCTGTGAGAGGACTTTGTCGCTTGTGTGACATGTCAATCAATATGCAAACTCTCACTATTGCAGTCATTAATGTTGTGAGACCAATAGAAGGATAACTCACAGGAGAAAAAAGGTAGAAAGCTACACCTAGTATTACAAGGATATGCAAAGAATTTCCCCAAACGCTGACCATGGAAAGAGAAAATAGGGAAAACGGTAAGTGCCTGTGGCGGAGTGGGAGCTGGGAGAGCTTGGCTTAGGGAAGATGGGACTGGAACAAAGACCTGAAGAAGGGAAATGTGGAAGGGGGAAATGGTGATTTGACAGAAGGAACCACTGCTCAGAGTCCAGAGATGTAAGAAAGCGAGGCAGGCACAAGTGCAGGGAAATGTCAGGTACTTTTTTCCAACAGGAGGACAAACGCCTGCAGTGGGAAGAAAGATGAGACGAACTAAACCAGTGAGGCTATAAGTGTTGGGAGAGATACCACAGACTAGGAGATTGTGCCCAGGCCTGGAGGCAGGCAAGGACAAGATCAAAAGAACACCTAGGACCACTGAAAATCCTAACACTATTCTGCTATGGCAATAAAAGAACAGCACCCGTATTAAGCAAGCACGTGGTCGCCACTGATCACTCTGTCACACTGGGCAACATATGGAGACATGGATTTTGTCTCAAGGGTCACATTTGTAAAAGGACTTTGATTTCAAAGCACCCAGAGGAGGTGAACAGAGTGGAGAAGTAGAAGAATGCTATGCTATGCCAGGAAAGAAGAGAAAGTATGGTTGTCTGTTACCCTAAAAATTCAAGAAACATGAAAAAGCTCTCCTTTCTGTTTAGGAAGATCTCAGAGGAATGAAAGAGGTTAAGAAACAATCTCAGGCCGGCGCCGCGGCTCACTAGGCTAATCCTCCGCCTTGCAGTTCCGGCACACGGGGTTCTAGTCCTGGTTGGGGTGCCGGATTCTGTCCCGGTTGCCCCTCTTCCAGGCCAGCTCTCTGCTGTGGCCAGGGAGTGCAGTGGAGGATGGCCCAAGTCCTTCGGCCCTGCACCCCATGGGAGACCAGGATAAGTACCTGGCTCCTGCCATCGGATCAGCTTGGTGCGCCGGCTGCAGTGCGCCGGCCACCACGCTGGCCGCGGCGGCCATTGGAGGGTGAACCAACGGCAAAAGGAAGACCTTTCTCTCTGTCTCTCTCCCTCACTGTCCACTCTGTCTGTCAAAAAAAAAAAAAAAAAGAAAAAAAGAAAAAAAAAAAGAAAAGAAAAGAAACAATCTCAGATTTAGGAGAGTCCATATGACTGAGAAGTCTAAGATTAGATGGAATAGGCCACTTACCTGGGAACCAGCAGACTGGGATTCAGTCTATTTTGCCCCTACTTGGATGAGTCTGTTACTTGCTTTCCAAGTGTTTAGATGATTCATGTGTTGGAGAAAAACCTGGTTAGAGGGGAAAATGTTTAAAACGTTCACATAATAAGCTAGCGGCAGAGGCACTAAAAATTGTTTGGTTATTTTAAACCAGTGGTTACCTAAATCACCAGAAATACTGATCTGATTAATTTTCTCTGAACACAAAAGATGGAGAAGAGCAGCAGACATGGGAGTGTGGGGAGCAACTCTGACTAGACTAAGTTACTGGAATTAAGACTTATTCTATGCATCTGCTCTCCCACAATATGGCGCTGGGAGAGGAGAAAACAGCTTCTACACAGCTGCCTCCAGTTCAGCCAATAAACTGTAGGACTTGCTCCTGATTGGAGAGCAGCGTACTTGGCGTGTGGGTAGCAGAGTTGGGATTGGTGAAAGAGGACTATAAAGGAGGAGAGAGACGGCATGCACCAGGAACATCTAAGGGGAACATCTAAGAGGAACACCTGTGCAGCCCCCGAGAGAGCCGGCCGGCGGTGTGCTGCTCCCCCGCGGAAGTGGGGAAAGTGGCAGGGGGAACCACCCTTCCACGGAGGTGGAAGGGATGGTAGCCAACCCGGGAAGAACCAGCAGCAAACCCGGGAAGGGCCGAGCAGACGAAAGAACAGCGCAGGGTCCTGTGTCGTTCCTCCACGAAGAGGGGGAGCGACATAATGGTGCCGTGACTCGGATAGGAAACTTAGGAGGGAAGAAACGGGAAGAAGTGGGAAAATATCAGAGAGAGAGACTAGCAAACAGCCTAGGGAAAAGCCGGACGAAAAAGGTGCCGGAAGAAGCTATTGAAAGCCTAGGCATAGACTCAGATACAGACTACGGGGGGAAGCTGGGAGAAATCTCTAAGGTTGAAAGCGAAAGTGAAAGCTAGAACAAACAGACTCGGATACGGACTGTGGGGAGAAGCCAGGAGAAATGAGGGAGGAATATTGTTGGAAGAAAACTTAGGGAAACATACCGGGTAGAGAAAAATATGTTAGGGAGGATGTAGCCGCGGGGGCAGGCCGAGGCGGAAACGCAAGCCAGCTTGGGATTCGTCAAGTCAGCCCGGGGAGCAAAAGGCAAAAATCTAAAACTAGAGGCGGAGACGTTTGAGCTAGGTTGGAATCCGTCAGATTAGCCTGAGGAGCAAAGGACGGAAGCCAGACCGAAAGGCGCAGACGCGTGAGCTAGGTTGAATTCGCCAGGTTAGCCCGGGGAACTTAGATTGAATACTAGTGGCGGAGACGTGAGCTGGGGCTGTGTGACTCGCGGAGGCTGCCGTGCGCAGAGAGAGCGTGCGGGGCACAAGTAGATAGGGAACGCTGGGCTAGTGAGAGACCGCGGAGTGTGCGCGCGAAGCTGAGCCGCGCAAAGCCGGGAAGCCGCGCAGATGAGAGAGGCACGGGCTGAAGCGGCTCAGAGCCGGGAAGCCGCCGTGGGGCGGGTGCCGAGAAGCAGCCTCGGGGCGGGTGCCGGGAAGCCGCAGGGATAAGAGAAACAGAAGTTTAGAAGTAAAATGAGAGAAATAGGAATGCTGGTAGATAGAAGTAAAACAGGAGAAATAGGAATGCCCGGAGATAGAGAAATAGAGAAAGGCCTCCCCACAACACAGCAATGAGAGAGCTTGGATTCGGTCTGCCTGATTAGTAAGGCGGTAAGCACCAGCAGGCAGCTCGACCAGAGTATGAGCTGCAGGTCACCGAAGATAGGCACGAATCAACACCAATAAGCCTCCCCACAATATGGCAATGAGAAGGCTTGGATTCGGTTTGCCTAATAGGGCTTGTAAGCACCTGCAGGCAGAGCAGAGCATGCGCTGCAGGGCACCGAACTCAGGCACGCATCAGCGCCTAAAAACCTCACAACATGGCAAAGAGAGGACCTGGATTCGGTTTGCCTGATTGATAGGACTTGTAAGAACCTGTGGCAACTCTAGCAAGCAGAGCAGAGTGTGTGCCGCGGGGCACCGAAGACAGGCGCGTATCAACGCCAAAAAATAAAAAGAAAGGGGGATCTGTGGGGAGCAACTCGGACTAGACTAAGTTACTGGAATTAAGACTTATTCTATGCATCTGCTCTCCCACAATATGGCGCTGGGAGAGGAGAAAACAGCTTCTACACAGCTGCCTCCAGTTCAACCAATAAACAGCAGGACCTGCTCCTGATTGGAGGAGAGCAGCGTACTCAGCGTGTGGGCAGCCGAGTTAGGATTGGCGGAGGAGGACTATAAAGGAGGAGAGAGACGGCATGCACCAGGAACATCTAAGGGGAACATCTAAGAGGAACACCTGTGCAGCCCCCGAGAGAGCCGGCCGGCGGTGTGCTGCTCCCCCGCGGAAGTGGGGAAAGTGGCAGGGGGAACCGCCCTTCCACGGAGGTGGAAGGGACAGTAGCCAACCCGGGAAGAACCAGCAGCAAACCCGGGAAGGGCCGAGCAGACGAAAGAACAGCGCAGGGTCCTGTGTCGTTCCTCCACGAAGAGGGGGAGCGACAGGGAAGAGCTTGTGCGCAGTGAGAATCGGGCAAAAGAAGACCCAGGTCATAGTGTGTTGCAGTCCCAATTATCCAAGAGACCACATCCTAGGCAGGTTAAGAGACTTCCTGGAGGTCTCTCCTGCAGGGAGCATAGGGAATGCTGGGTAAGAGGAACACTCCAACTGTTTCAACAGAATCCTAGGGGTTCTAGATGCTGAATCTACCATATTACACAAGATAGGGGAAGGGGAGGGAGGAGGAGGAGAGGAAGAAGGGGAGAAGGAGGGAAAGGGGGGAGGGGAGAGAGAGAGAGATAGGGAGATGGCAGCTGGCAGGATAAAAGTTCTATGGTAAGATAAATCTGGTACATGATAGTAGATTCAAGAAAATAATACGGCTAGAGTTTTTTTATTGCAGGATTTCTCGGCACCTTTAATATGCTCAAGGGTTTTGTGACTCAATATGGACATTGTACAAAGCAATTTCTTTCCTTTATTTTTTTTAACACAGAGGTGACCTTTCTTCTCACAACACCACTGCCTCCCTCTGCAAGCATTGAAGGGAAGCAGCATTTGTCAAATATGACTTTACAAAAACCCTGAAGAGCTCTGCCCCTGGATGGAGTGGTCCCCGCAGGGATGATAAGAGTTCTCAGCGGTCCATATGGACAGAATGAATCCCTAAATCAATCTCACGCAATAATTAAGCACCTACGATTTGTCAATGACTATTGTGGCTACAGAAACTGAAACCAATTGTCACTATTCCCAGAAGTTTTCAAGATACTAGGAAAATAAAATTTGTACACATATAAAGAGAAGTAGCCACAGAGGCTCTCTCATTGCTCGAGTGTCAAAAAGAATGAACTGGTACAGACTGTGAGTACTTCAGGAGGCAGGAAAATGCGAATTAACTTTAGCAGTGGAAAGAGGCATCTCCAGGAAGGGACACTGGTGTTGTTGCTGGAAATATGGGCAGCAACAGATGGTTTATAGGAAGAGTCCGGCATTCTGGCATAGAGAGAAGGGTAGCAAGTGCCAAGGTACTGGTGGGGGCGGGGCGTGGGGAGCACTGAGGAGACCAATCTGCAGCTGAGATTCAGGAGCGGTGGTGGCTGATGCCAGGAAGCCAGGGTGGGGTGTTGTTGATTGCAGATCCACAGGAACCACACGCAGGACTTTTCAGCCCTGCCACACAGCAAGATGGAGTAAGCTCCTAAAAGTTCAAGGGCAGGCAAGTGACATGACCAAAATTATTCCCACCAGTTTCACAAATAAGGAAGGTGTCAGTGACTTGTTGGGCTCATTTCAAGCTAGATGATTTTTATTTCTGGGGCAAAGCAGTTAGAGCTGGCCCTCCAGGTATACAGGTTCCATATGCACAGAGTCAGCCAACCACAAATCGAAAATGCTTGAAAAAGTTTCATCCGTAGTAAACACGTACAGATTTTGTCTTTTTGTTAGTCCCTAAACAATACGCTATACGGGGATCAGTGCTGTCATGTAGCTGGTTAAGCCTCTGTCTGCATTGTTGGCATCCTATATGGGTGCCAGTTTAAGTCCCAGGTGCTCCATTTCCAATCCAGCTCTCTGCTAATGCACCTGGGAAAGCAACAGAGGAATGGCCCAAGTGCTTGGGGCCCTGCATCCATGTGGGAGATCTGGATGAAGCTTCTGGCTCCTGGCTTTGGTCTGGCCCAGCTGTTGGGGCTACTTGGGGAGTGAACCAACAAATGAAAGATAGCGCTCTCTCTCTCTCTCTCTCTCTCTCTCTCTCTCTGTGTGTGTGTGTGTTTATGTTTATGTATATTTTCTAAGTAATTTTGCCTCTCAAATAAAAAATAATAATACATTATGCTAAGTATAATTTACAAAGTATTTACATTATATTAGGTATAACAAGGTGATTTAAAAGCATATGGGAGCTGGCGCCGCGGCTCACTAGGCTAATCCTCCGCCTTGTGGCGCCGGCACACCGGGTTCTAGTCCCGGTCGGGGCGCTGGATTCTGTCCCGGTTGTCCCTCTTCCAGGCCAGCTCTCTGCTGTGGCCAGGGAGTGCAGTGGAGGATGGCCCAAGTGCTTGGGCCCTGCACCCCATGGGAAACCAGGAGAAAGCACCTGGCTCCTGCCTTTGGAGCAGTGCGGTGCACCGGCCGCAGCACGCCGGCCACGGTGGCCATTGGAGGGTGAACCAACGGAAAAAGGAAGACCTTTCTCTCTGTCTCTCTCTCTCACTGTCCACTTTGCCTGTCAAAAAAAAAAAAAAGCATATGGGAGGATTGCATAAGTTATATGCAAATGATCTGGAGTTCTCTATAAGAGACTTGTGCACCCTCAGAGTTTGGTGCTCAGAGGGTGCCTTGGACCCAATGCCCCTCAGTTACTGAGGGAAGAATGAAGTCAGTTCCAGGGGGATATATTGGAACGATGAGCTTCTGTTGCATCTCCTCTACTGGAGAAATAGACCACCTCCTTCAGGATGGTTCGGAAGCACTAATAATCATCCGTCTACAGAAGCCACCGAAGGAAAAAGACACACACGACGCTCTCATAAAGAA